GGGTGGGGGGTGGGCGGGGCAGATACACTAATATTTTTGGCATGCTCTGGAAGGGCTACATGGTAAAATTATAAAATGAGCCAGCGAGGAGAGGTTATGTACACATATAATTATAGGGGAAACTCCTCCAGTTTTGGGAAACCTGTATAAAGCTACACAAGCCATGTTTTGAGGTAATATTAAACATTTACAGTTAATTTCAATTATAATTAAATTTCAGTTATAATTATTTCTGCCCATAAAAGTCCCTCCAAGGAGACAGTTCTCAAGTTTGAGAGTCCTAAAACCTACTGCAGACATCAGTACCCACTCACATATCTGCACAGTGCTGGAGGTCAAATTCTTTTGCTTTCTGGCATTGTCCTAAGGTTTACTGCACTGGAAGCTCCATATTTGACTTCAAAGGTTCTGCCTTCAATGTGCTGCAAGGTGCAATGGTTCTGATTTTAGTATTTACCTTGTAGTAAAGGCAAAACCCCCAATTACCATTACATTTAAAATATATTGGCAAATACACTATGAAAGCTAACTAAGCGTGAACAACCTATGTATGATTTAAAGGATAACTAAACTCCACAACAAATAATGTAATATAATGCTGCTTACCTGTACTTGGATGTGGTGGCTGCATACATTTTCATTTAGCAGATACAGAGAATACCTGTTGGTCTTGTCAGAAATGCAGTGTCCTTACTTGCCGTGAGCTAAACTGGAAGCATTAAACTATCTTATCATTCTGTAAAATACTAATCTTTCCACCTCCCATAAAATATATATGTACAAATGCAGTTCTATTAGTCCAGCTTGGGTGACAACCATGGCTTCCAATACAGTGGAGAAATGAGTGTAGCCACCCAGGGGCAGGAAGTGTCATTCACATGATCACAAGGTAAAGAAAGTAAACTAACACACACAGCGACCACATCTAAGGACTGGTAAGCTGAAATATATATTACATTTTCGGGTTTGGGTTTAGATACACTAAGGTTTTAAAAGTTTGTAGTCCTTGCTATATATATATATATATATATATATAGTTTAATCTACAAAATTGGAGTTTCATGTTTGGTATACAGATATGAGCATACACTTGTTTCATATTGGTAACTAAAACATGCTAGACCTAGAGTTTGGCAATCTGACATTAAAGTAGATGTAAATGCAGTCCTGGTGATTCTGCCATGTCCAGTCACTTCTTGTAGTGGGGTGACAACGGTTTCCCACTTGTGCTTGTGTATTATCACCTTGGTACATGAAATGCACAAGGTACATTGTGCATGATTACCGAAAGACCTCTGTGCTCCAACACTTCCAATACTTCAAGCTGGTATGCTGTGAGCTGAGGTGATGGTGGAGGGGGTGGAATGATCACTGATGTTTATCACCTCAGCGGTTCTGTCTTCCCTTCATAGCATAACCTCCAAGATTGACTAAGCATGTTTGTGGAGCCACCAGCCTGATAGCTTGACAGTCATCTAAAAGAATGTGCAGTCACTGCGTGCATGTATAACTGTTGCATGCTGGGTAAAGGTCCACAGCTCTAGCTGAACATTTCCATACAAAAGTTAGATTTCATTTTCCTGGGGTAGACTAGTGTTATCAGGGGTCATTACTAAAGCAGTTTGTTTTATGAAATGTGTGCTTTTAGTTCTATCTGGAGGATTATAAACTGTATGTTGTCCTTTGACCAAAAGAACAGTTCATGTGCTCTTCATTAAAGCGAACAGGACAGCCATGACATCTTCTAGAAAATACATACGTTTGTATGCAACCTAAAAACACATTTTACATTGTTTCAGTCGTGTTGGGTTTCTAGAAAGTCAACATTGATGAAATGATGTAGATCACTGAATGTTAACATGCTTTATACTGCTGTTAGGTTAACAGATTAAGAAGCTGGCCATGTGTTTGGTAATAATTATATGTAGAAAAATATGTCAAATACATTTATACTCTTTGGATAGTGAGGGCAGCTCTATGTACAGGTTTTATTTACAACAATTCCATGTATCATGGATCCCATACTGTTATAGCCCACGTAAGCTATGTCTCTTCAATACATCCCTTTTAAACTAGGATTAGGCAACGTGCCATTTCTGCACAAAGCTGTAGTGTCACAATGTGCTTAGGCCTGCTATCTTGTGTAACTAACTGTCTAATCCAGCTGCTCTGGAGGTGATGTAGATGGTTCATGTGCCTAAAATGATGAGAGTTCCTATGAAGTTGGGAGCTTTTAATGTGACTGAACTGTTCTATTATCCATATGTAACGGTTTACTAGTACTGCATTGTATGTGAGACCCGAGTAATCAGCACAGAGTTGGTTCTTGTAAGTGCTGGAATGGAAATAGGTTTATGAAAATTGTTCTTTGGGTATGTTCAATCAGATTTGTTTCTGTATTAAATATGGAGTGAGCAAATATCACAGCTCTGCAAAGAACAGTTTTCAGAACTGCTTCCATCAGCATTATTTAAAATTAGTTGTAATGTTCCTGCCTTTTAAGAGTTTGAAAACCAATTCTTCAACAGGGCACGTGGGCTTGAAGTTAACCTGGCAGCCAGTTCTGTCTCATGGGTGCCTGTCATTGTGCACGGTCCCTCTCCTTCCCTCATTTTATGCCCACTCATTTCCTGCTTTACTATCAATTTGTCCTTATTGGCCACTCATTTATACTCTCATTGTACAAGGGTCAGGGAGATTTATCCTTAGTAAACCCTCTTTAATACTGCAACGCAAGGGGCAACTAATTGTACAGCAACTAGCAAGACTTGTGTCTCCATTTTGCACATTGCACTTTGTTTTATTAAAGCTCTAGCCCAAACTTTTTTTTTTTTAAGTTTCAGAAAGACATGGAAAAACCAAATACTTCTCTGTAATGGTCACTGCTATTCAGGATCCTGGTGTGGAGATTTAACTTCACAATGATGGGGGCTGTGGTCATCGGGACTTCCTAAAAGTTCGGAGCTAAAAAAAAACAAAAAGTTTGGGCTGTAGTTGGGCTTGCTGTTTGTGTTTATTTTATACGCTTTCTTTCAGATTTAAATGCCTGTGTCCCCAAATAGAATCCTGGGCTCTTTCGGTTCTGTTTGACAATCCACCTATACAGGACAGCAAGGGAAATCCCCCATTATGGCACCCAGCTAGGAATCTTAACAAAGGATCCAAATTTTCCTCACTCTACTAAAGTGTTTTGGTTTTTTATTGTTTTTATTCTTGTGTACCCATTGGTGTGTGAGGATGGGGATTTCCCCTACTTGTGGTTCTGATATGCCACCAAATAGACAAGAAGCAGAGATAATAAAAGAACAGACCTTAATGACCTCTTCCCATCTCTGTCCA